GTGGGGCCCCTCTGGGGCCATGAGAGGATCCCTGTGGACATGGGGATGTGGCAGGGTCCCACTGAGGACACGGCAGCGTGCAGGGATGTGGCAGGGCCCATGACATCCCCTGTTAGGGATGGGACATGTCACGTCCCCGTGGGAACCCTGCCAGCGTGTGGGGACAAATCCCTTGGCTCGGTGGGTGCCCGGTGGGGAGGGGGTCAGCCCTAGGACAGAGAGAAGCCTGTTTTTTGTGACAGGGACATCCCAAGCCACAGCCACTGCTCCTACCGACGCTGGGAGCAGGGTAAAGGAATGGGGGGTGGCCTGGGGGACCCTCACTCCCAGGGCTCCTCCTGGCACCGTGCTGGGGGCCAGGCTGGACCCTTGCCCATGTCAGAGTGGGCTCAGGTCCGTGGAGAGGGATGCCATAGGCTGGGATCGTTCTGGATGGATGCCGGGGGCTGGGGAATACGTATGGCAAAGGGGAGAGTATGGCTGGAAACTGGGGGGTGAAGGTGAAGGGTGTGCTCCCACCACCTCACCCCCATGGCAGGGACGGGACAAGGCTGGCACTGGGAGAGGAGGAGGAAGAGGAGGAGGAGGAGGAGGAGGAGGGCAGCCTCCACCGTAACCCCGCAGCTGCTGGAGCGAAGCGTGGCCACCCCAGCCCGCTTTTGTCCGCTCTCCGGTTTTGCTGTCGCACGCTCAGACCGAAATAGCCAAAATCCCTAATAGGAAGCTTCCCCCAGCCCGAGCCCTCGGCTGGTATCTCGCTCGGGCAGGTTTCATGACTCAGCAGCCCAGATGGAGCCGTCCCTCACAGCCCTCAGCTCCAAATCTGTTTATTGCTCCAGAGGCTGTTTTTCCAAGAGCTTCACTGCTTTATAACAGCCAGCGCTCTCCCTTAAAACCCTGCCTCTCCAGCGAGGGCTCGCGTCACACTCAGCGCGGAGGTGGGCGAGGAACAAAAATAGACAAATTAAGAAAACCTCAAAAGGCCAAAAAATGAAAATGTGAGGGTTTTGGCTCTCCGAGCTCCAAGGTTTGCTTTGCCTCCGTGTTGCATCAGCTCTGCTCTTCCTCTGCTGCCTTCCTTGGAGCTGCACCATCTCGGGGGCAGAGAAGAATCCCCGGGTGATCACAAGTCTACGAGAAGCTGAGCGACAGCTGAGCCCCCTGGGGTGTCCCCCCAGAGCTGAGGTCGAGGCACTGTGCCCTTGGCTGGAGAGTGGAGCCCTGGCGGTGCAAACCTGGGGTGGTGTTGGCCACAGGCAGCACAGGGAACAATAAGGATGGATTTTGGGGTTGCAGCCTCTGGGGTTCCCTCCCCAAGTATCTAAACCCCTCATTCCCCCTCATCACTGTTGAATGAGAAATAGGCTCTTGCACAGCTCCAGTTCCTTGTCCTGGGTGGTTTTTAACTACTCACACAACTGCACAGGTGTGGGATAGGTGTGGGATAGAAGATGTGAATAGGGAAACTTGGGAGGCCTTTGACCCAGGGACACAGCAAAGACAGCAGGGAACAAAGCTAAAAGGGAATGTCAGCTCCTCCTCACACTGACCCCTGGGCAAGGGTTCACTCCTGGGAGCTGGGGGCACTCAGTGGTGGCTGGGGGCTGCTGGTGGCCCCCACCCCTCCTGCCAACAGTGTTGGCCAGGATGGATGTACAAGGGGCAGGTGGGACAGTGAGGGTTTGCTCCTGAGCACAGGGGAGGGGCTGGGCAGTGAGTGCTTTCTCAGGTACCTGCTCACTCTCTGCCCTGGTATGGGGGGACAGCAGGGCCTCTGTGGGACCCCCAGTCCTGGGAAGGCAGCCCGTGCTCCCACCAGGTACAGCCCAGGTCAGGTAGGGCAGCAGCAGCTCTTCTGTAAGGCACACATAGTGTCGTGGGCAGGTTTTCCCCCTTCCCATAGGAACTGTGCATCTATTGGAAAAGTTACCAAGACTGTGTGGGGACAAGATGCTTGAAGCAGGACCAGCCCCCCTTGATGGCACCCCATAGTGCTTTTGGGGGTGATGGTGTCGGAAGGGTCAGGACTTGACTCTGATCCTTGTGGGTCTCTTCCAGCTCGGGATATTCTGTGAATCTGTGAAACCCACCTTGCCCAGCCCAGCCTGGCAGATCCGCACCGTGCCGGGGTGAGCCCGGTCAGTGGGTCCCGGGCACATTCCCGAAGGGAGCGCCCGACCACAGTCCATTAACTGGTCGTTAGGGCCATTACCTTAATCACCGGGTGTTCTCCTGCTCTGTATCAAGGTGTGCTCAGGGTCACGCAGGCTGAGTGGGGAGCAGGTGGCTGCCTCCTGCCTCCTGCACGGCCGTGGCAGTGCCTGGATCCGCCGCCACCCATCCATCCATCCATCCATCCTCTCCAGTTTCCATGGCTACACCAGAGTTTACTCTTCCCCGCCTTCCACCGCCTGCACGGGTGTGATGTAAAAAAAGGTCCTTATGTGAGGCAAAAAGCCCAGGGACTGGGACCTCCTGGTTTTTGGGAGCAACAACTCCATCCAGGGTGGTCAAACCACAGCGTGACAGGCGCTGAGTGTCCTGGCAGCACCCGCAGCCCACCTGAATGGCACCTTGGAGACCTTCAGGGGGGCTGTGGCATGATTTTGGGGCGCTGCCTTCCCCTCCTGGCCTCCCTGATGGCGGCAGGGACCCAAGGGAGGCGGGAGTGATCTCCTGGGGACAAATCCAGGCGCGGAGCCATCGGCCGCCTGGCGCTCAATACGAGGTGACAGCGCGGAGCAGAGATCCCTGAGCTGCGGCTCCTTAATGGGAGAGAACAAACCCCGAGCTTGGGTCACCACATGGGATTTCAGTGGCCAAATGTGGGTCAGCAGAGGCCTCGCCGGGGAGGCAGGAATGTCACAACACCGCAGGGATTTCACAGCACCACAGGGCAGTCACAGCACGGTAGGGGTTTGATCCCTTTCCAGGAGCACAGGCAGCAGAGGGGCAGCGTATCCCAGTCCATGGCCACATTCCCTGGGCAGGGGGATTTGGGCTGAGGGGCTCCTGGGATGTGGCCGAGGTGCAGTTGGCTGTGGGGGTGCGTGATCATTTCCAAATCCATGGCTGCTGTGATTCACAGGGCCAGCGGGTGAAGCGGGAAGCATTCCCATAGCCTGGGTGTGCTGCACCCGGCTGTGTTCGGCCATGGGGCAATCCTCGTGCCCTGCCCATGCATCCCAGGGTTCCTGCCTGCTCCTGGACACCTGGTCAGGCTGCCTGTGCCCCAAGGCTAGTTTTCCCTCTGACGGGCTCTGGGTGACCCTGAACTCCACAGGATCACGGCTCCACTGCGTGTTTGTTGCATTGAAGAGGCCCCTCAGTAGCAGGGGTGCAGGGATGGTGCATTGTGCAGGGACCCCGTGGTATGGGCTGTGTTTCAGCAGCTCCCTCGGGGAGATGCTGGGCACAGAGGGTGCCTGGGTGCTGTTTGGCCTCGGGAGGGTGGGGTGAGTTCCATCGGGCACTCGCCCGCTGAGTCACGGGGCTGTGCAGCCAGAGCTGTGCCATGTGTGCCTCCGGCCTGGCCCAGAGGGGATGCTCTGTGTCCTTCCCTGACCCCCTCCCCACACCCCGGGACAGACTCTGTGGCCAGGCTGGGCAGTGAGGGCTGGTGACTGACGTGGCCTGGCAGCTCAGCCTCCCCAAAGGCACTCGCTGCTCCTTCTGCCTCTCCCACCAAGGCTCCCTCCCTCCCCCCCCATCCCAGCCTGCACATCACTGCCTGCCTCCTGGCCAGCTGAGCTGGGAGCTCACCCCATCCCAGATTCCCCAGACACCCCCTGGAAGCCCAGCCTGGAGGGTGCTCTGGCAGTGCCTGTCCCTCCAGCACTGCACAGGGTGCTCCGAGCTCCCGTCCCCATTTTATGGGAAGGGCTGGGGAGTGCTGGTGTCTGCAGATGCTGGTTCATAAAACATTGACTTTCCAGACAGGCTTTGCAGAAGAAATGAGATGCTGGTGATTGTATGGAGAGCTCAGGGAATCCCAGGGTGTGTTCCCTGGAGCAAAGGGTGATCCTTGCTCGGGGCTGTTGAGAGCCTGCAGTGGGGCAGAGACCCAAAACGCTGGACACCTGTGTGCTCCAAACTGCTGCTTGACCCCATCTCTGGGTTCCTCATGCTCTTCCCTACTCTGTCTCACCTGTTGGGTTCCCACACAGTCCTGACCCAGCGCTGCCGTGGAGTGACAACACACGGCTGGTGTGTGTGGGCTGGCTTGTGCTTCCCCTGTGGAAGCATGTTCGTCTCCATGGTGGGATGGGGGCACAGGGGGATGGGGGCTGCAGGCATTTGTGTGCATGAGGCTGCTGGTGGGTTTGCTCTCCGACACTCTCCATCAGCTGCAGTCACAGGGAGCGCAGTGGGAACGCGTCTGCTTTTCCTGTGTCACTGTGAGTGCTTTCTCCACACTCACCGACAAATCCGTGCTGGTTTTTCCCGGCAGGTCACCGGGCCAGTTTGCTGGCAGGGCAGAGATCACCACGGGGCACTGCTGCGTGGTTTGGATTTTTCCCTTTCCCAGGACGGCAGCTCTGGGGTTTCTCCAACCGCGGCTGGAAAGCCGCCGTTCCAGCGCGGTGTTTGTCTCCCAAGGAGGTGGTTTAGGTTTCACAGGCCCAACCTGATGGGAATTTGAGCAGGCACTAAAACTAGAGCTTCTCATGCCTTCGTTATCGGCGCTATCTGCTCCGCTGGGCAGCCGTGGGGAGCGCGGTGGGAGCTGGTGGGAGCCCGTGCTGTGCCATCCCGGCACGAGCCCCCGGGATCTGCTCCAGGCAGCCCCCACCTCCCAGGCTGAGTCACCAGCAGGCCGAGAGCATTTGCTGCTGGTGTGACGGCAGCTGTAAGTCCCAAAAAATCCCCCAGCACTGATGCTTTAATGACAGGCGGGTAACACAGCCCCGAAGAAGACTCATCCCGCACATACCTCATTAGTGGTGACTAAGCCCGCACTGGGCTGGAGCAGCCACAGCCTTCCCACGTCACCCCAGCCCTGGTGTCACTAATTCTGCAGGTCCCGAGATCCCAAACCGCCCATCTCCTGCCAGTCCCCGGCCTTGTTCCATATTTAATCTTTCATGTTCACCTGAGTCTCTAATTAAGCTCAGCCGTGAGCCCATGGTGTGTAGTGAGGGCTTGGCGTTCCCCGAGTGCTCTGTGTGTGGGACCCACACAGCAGCCCACTGAAACAATCCCCAGCTGAAGGTTTTCCCTTTGTTTTCCCTTTCTTTTTAATTCCTCCCCCCTAAACTAGCACTAGGCAGGTGTGTAATGCTAACTCAAGGCAGGTATGAATCATAGAATCCCAGAACAGTTTGGGTTGTAAGGGACCTTAAAGCTCACCCAGTTCCAACCCCCTGCCATGGGCAGGGACACCTTCCACTAGAACAGGTGAGGTGAAGTGCGGGCCCATTAGCAGCAAAGCTCTTAAAAAAGGAATGTGTGGACTGTTTGGGGCTTTTTTCCTTTTTTTACAGTAAAGGCATGAATGGTCAGCTTGAGGTATTCAAAAAGAGCTTTTTCTTGTGTTCCTTTTCGCTGGCAGCAGCTGTCCAGGGAGCCTGTGCTGGGGTGAGGCAGGGCAGCATGGAAACCCCAGGTGCTGCTTCCCAAGCCAGTATCCAGAGGAGCCGGACAGTGTCAAGGGCTGGAGCAGCTGGAGTAGCCACCATCCTCCCCGACATCCCAACTGGCTGCCTCACCCTTAAGAGTCCCCCAGTCAAAAACACCCCCCGGCCTGGCAGTGAACGGGGCTCTGATCCCCCCGGGGGCTGCAGGGTTGGGCAGGGGGAGAGACGCGCATTGTAACTGGAGCAGCATATCCATGGCAACCCCAACTTTTCATCAGTGTTAATTACTTACACAGTGCCAGAGCTGCGCACGGCGCCTCCCAGATAAAGATACATCCCCCTTCCAAGCCTCTCTGAGTGACACCGAGGCGACAGCGGGCTCGGGGAGCCGGGTCTGGAACGCGGTGACGGAGACATTTTGTGAGGAGAGGAGCTGGGATTTAAAGGAGGGGCCGGAGAGGCAGCCGGGAGCTCAGGGCAGCTTTTCTCCCAAAAAAACACCTTCCCGGAGTGCTGGGAAATGGCCCCAGCCGATGTGACAAGCAGATCCGTACCCCAAATCCTGCTGTTGGGGTGTCTCTGGTGGCTGTGCCTCGGTGGGCTGTGTGGGGCCACACGGTTGTGGGGCCGTGGCCGTGGTGAGGGCTGGCAGCAGGTCACACTCACAGGCCTGTTCGGGTCCCTTTGGGGCACAGGGATGTCACTGAGTGGGTGAGGATGTGGCTGATCCTGGGATGGTCCCAGCAGGTCCTGGAGTTTTTGGCTCCTCTACGGCTTTTTGGTGCAACTCACGGCACTAAAAGTGGGAAACACATTCCCAAGGCATTACAGCTCACCGTCATTCCCTCAGCATTCCCAGTTATAGAGTCTCAATTTCTACAGACTTTAATCTTCAACATGTAGTTTATTACTGCTGCTTTTCTTTAAATAGCATTATTTTCTAGGAAGTGCAGCCGTCCCATCCCCACAGCTGCTGTTGTGCGTTTATCTCCCCTCTCCTGGTGAGAAGCTGATGGATACAGATCCAGGCAGCTGCGTGACCTTTACAGTCTCACTCGGAGTCCAGGGACGTGGATGTAAGATTGTTTCAAGTCATTCTGATTTTATTACAAACCAAAATACTTCACATTCAGTGGCACCTCAGGATAATTACTCTCGGGGAAAAAAACCACCCAAACCCAAACAGCTTAAACAGGTATCGGTGTAGTTGTGGCTCACTTCATCTTTTCCACGAGATCCCAAACTCGAGAGCCAACATGCCTCTTGCTTTAGTTTGTCAGGTTTTCTATGGGACATTATTCCAGCATTACACCTTAGCAGGAAGCAGTCTGACGAACAATTTACTGTGCAATAAGCCACGCCGAGCTGCATCTGCAAAGAACCATCTTCATCATCCAATTATTGCCAAATCCAAATGTTCTGTACTGAAGCTGTACAGGGATCAGCTGATGTGACAGGGGGGTTGTGTGTTCAGTAACTTGTTGCTCCTCCTCACTGCTTGTTGGTCAGTGGGCAAGCTGCTGACAAGGCTGAGGGAGTAAAACCCCACAACAGGAGCTTTGTGCTCTTCACTCCTTAATTTCTGTGGGAGAACGTTGAGTTCTGAGTGTCTTTTTATTCCTGTTCCCAAAGGCTGCAGTGGCTGTAATTTCCAGCCTTCCCAACAAGCCGAAGACTGAAACCGGGGGATTATATATAATTTGACAATCCCAAATAAGAGGCGAGGAGCTGAAGCTCATTGGGTTGTGCAGTGCCCTCCTGCTGGGATATGTGCTAATACCACATAAAAGTAACAACTGTTGAGGAGACTCCCTGCGATGTCCTTTCCCATCCTTTATCACAATTAAGTTAAAAAGGCCGGACCTCTGCAAGCTCTATTTTTATAGCTGGGGCACGTGCTGTCACCTTTGAAAGCTGCCACCGATTTAGGAAGGAGCACAGGGAGGGAGGGGACTGCGTTTCTATACCTGTACTGCACGAAGTGGGACTTATTCTGGCCTTATTCTGTGCCACTGTCAGCATAAAGGTACTGTGATGCTCTGCAGTCACAGAGGTGTGAGGAATCAATGCCCATCCACGTTTAAGATTAGCTTATATGGCATGTGATCCTTTCCAGCGCTCCGAGGCAGAGGAATTCTGACAACAGCAGAGTCAAAAGGAACCCAGACAAAGAAATGTCAGCATTCATACAATTTAACAAAGCTCCCTACTTGTTTTTACCAAAAAAAAAAAAAAAAAAAAAAAAAAGCCCCAAAAGGTTTCAAACAAAAGGAAATGTCCTTCATTCAACACTGGTAAAATCTTTCAGCGCTGTCAAAGTGACTTCAAAGCTTCTCCACATCTGCCTGCTCCAGCCAAAGCTGCCTGTCCTCAGGCCTTTGTGATGTATCCTTCTCTGATCAGGAAGTCATAGATTTTCCTGGTTTTGTTCACATCGATCTTGATGAGGGCTCGAGCCTGCGCCAGTCTCAGGCCCCCCTGTTTGTTGCACTCGTTCACTAAAGCAGCTTTATATTCCAAATAGGCTCCAGGGACCAACCTCACCATCTGACAGAGCTGCAAGACAAAAGGTGAAGTTAATAAACACCAACACTTGTCATGCTCCTCCATTCCCAGATCCCTGCTGGGGGAGGAACACGGGGAATATTTTTCTGCAAACACTCCCAACGTGGTGTTTTTTGCACGGGGGAGGCACACGGGAATGGCAGGAGGAGCTGCTTGGATCCACAGGTAGGGAGAGGAGGAGCTTGCTGGCTGCTGCATTCAAAAAACATTCCTGACTGAAAAATAAAGGAGGAGGATGAAAGCAAGCCCTGGGCTGGCAGGAGCACAGCTCTGAGTGTGTTCTGTGTGGGCGTTGCTCCTTCCAAACCCCGGGAAGCAGATGCCAGACTTGCAAGCAGCAATTGGGCCCGCTGGCCGGGAGCCAGGGAGGGCATCTGGCTGCTAATCCCCTGCAGAGTCGGGCTTTAATACCTTCCACACAAGCAGCTCCGCCGGCCCCTCCGGAAGCCTGGGATGGAAGCTGTGCAGGGAGGGCATTCCATGGGTGGAAGTTTGGTAAGGAACTGCTTTCCACAGCCCCTGAGCTGTATGGCTGCACAGCTCCTGTTCAGTTCCCAAGCACCAGCTGCCTTCCAGGAGCACGGCGTGGCTCCCACCGGGGATCCTGCCTGTCTCCTCTCCTTAGTGAGGAAATGCTTCATGCTCGTCCCTCCCTGATAGGAAATTGCAGAATTCCCGGGACCTCAGACTTTCTGTCTCAGCTGACGAGGCAATCAGACTCCCCCCCCCCCACTAATGTCCTGTCACCATTGTTTCTGTGCCAAACAGAGCCAGAAATGCCCGTTCCATGTGGAGCTGGGAGCTGATTCTCCCAGTGCTGCCAGCTCCAGCCAAGGGCACACGCACATGGAGGGAGAGGCTGGAATACAGCTGTGCCTCATGGGCACTGCAATCAGCCCTGGGCAATCTAAGGACAGATTAGGACTTCTATTAAAAAATAATAATCTTTTATTTCAATGGTTTTCCACTGAATTAGAGGACAGGGCTACACTGGGCTGAAAAACTGAGTCATAAATGCACAGCAGGCCCCTTGCTGCATGTTCACCTGTCCTGGGGGCTGCAGCCCCATTTCTGTCAGCTCTGGTGATCTCACCTGTGCTTCAGGTGAATGCAGGGGCCCTATAAGGGGCTGTGAGCTGCAGTACAAGGCTGAGATAATAACAGACAGCCCGATCCCATGCCCTTCCACATGTGCATATAAAAACCCTGACAGATGCACTGTAAAGCAGAAATATGGAAAAACCACGAGAAGAACACTGTTATCACCTCCATGGTTCACATTAGTGAAACCCCACTGCAGCTGGTTGAGGTTTGGCTCTGAGGTATCTATAAAAGAAGATTTGCTATTTTTGGGGTGTCCTGTGCAGGGCCAGGAGTTGGACTCGATAATGCTTGTGGGTCCCTTCCAGCTCAGGATGTTCTATGATCCCACAATATTCAGGTTCAGTGACCTGTCCAGTGAAGCCCTCGAGGAAATCCTCTGCCAGTTTGATAACCAGTGTTCATTAAGAAAAAAATGACCCTTCTGCTCAGCCTCAAGATGCAGGAAGGGAGGGTGTCACACTGGATGTTATAACAGCATCTAAAAACACCCTGGTGCTCTGCACCTTTCTTTGCTAAATCAGCCAGTTTGCTGCAGCTCTGCTGGATGTGTGGTACAGGAAATTAAGAAGCCAACTGGAAAACCTGAATGATTTTTGTGAGCAGGAAGAGCAATCTGGGCCTGTGGCTGAGGTGACATTCACAGCCCCCCAGACACGGTGTGAGCAGCCCTGGGCTGGGAAGGTACAGTTTTGTAGAGGTGATCTTTCCATCTTTCCTCACCTCCTTCTCCTTCTCGTTGAGTTTCTCTGTCCCTGGCAGCCCTGTGAGGTTCAGAGGTGGGGCGCTCCGTCTGCCTGCAGGGGTGAGAGAGGAAACACTCAACAACTGGGAGCAGTTCGGTCCTGGCTGTTCCTGAGGTGTGTTATGGAGGGAATTCAATGCCTGACGTTAACCCAGAGTGATCCAAGTGTTTACAGACAGGGTTATTTAGGGCTTAGCATAAAGCTGTGCTGATTGATAAAAGGTTTGATGTCGCAATGGACATAGTTCAGCTCTGTGAATGCTGCATGAGACTCTTGTGCTGTTGGATTTTGGGAGGAACTGCAAGACAGCAGCTTTTGTCAGACTGGCCCCGAGCGTGGCTCAGCTGGGCTGAGCCTCCTGACTAACCCAACTCCACCAGCTCAGGGAGGGTGTGCCAGGGTGTGCGGGACCGACCTCAGCCCTGAAACCAGGGCCTTGTAAGGATGCTGAGATTATTTATTGGTGTGATTACACAGCCAATTTCTCTGGCATTGCTGACAACTTCGTGAGGCAGAGTTTTCTTTAAATGCCTTTAAATACAATGCAGATACTGTAAAGCAAACGCAGTTTGGAGGTTTATTTTTGTCTGTTACGATAAACAGTCCTGGAAGAAATATTTATCACAAGGTCATCTGCTGTTTCTCACTTTCACTATTGTTTATAATTTTGCTGGGCTGTAACTGGCACAGCTTAAGCTTCCACAAGGGCTGTCTACTTGCAGGTTTGACTTCTTTTGCATAATAGCATTTTTTCTTAACTTACAGAGCTCAGGACAAAATTTGGGTTATTTATTCACATTTTTAAAAGTCTCTTGCCCCTGTGCTGTGGGTTGCATATTTAGCACTGTTACAGAGAGGTCTCTATCCCAGGATGACTTTCCCAAATCTGGCAAAGTGATGAGACCCTGGGAAATGGGCAGCTCTGTTTTCCCTGTGCTGGTGGCTGCTCCAGACCCTGCCCTGTCCAGGGCCTGCCTCTGGCACTGGGGAGTCTCTCTGTCTCCTGGGCATCTGCAGGAACAGACGGGATCTGGCTGCGTGTGGGGAGTGATCAGGGGAACTGAAGGACTAGAGAAGCTGGAGTGTGAGTCTGTGGGAGGTGTAGAGGAAGTTACTTCCCAGCACTGCTCCCTCTTCCCAAGGCCTGGAACGAGTGTGCTGTGATGAGACGCAGCAGAATTTGGTTTTACTCTTTTATAAACCCAGAAAATACCACACACACACATACAAACTACATCGAAGACAACACATTAAGGCTGCAAAGTTAAGAGCACCAAATCTAGAAGTGAGGCATTAATTTGCCCTCTTGTATATTCAGTGTGATGCAGCCTTTAATTAGAGCCACGTGGCAGCTCTTCCGCAGCATCCCGCCGTTCCCTAGGCAGGATGTTTGCTTAATTAGCAGCTATATGGTATTTTGTTTGGGTTCTGTTCAACATGTGATGCTGCTTGTAAACACTGTGTGCCATCAGAGCTCCACAGGCAGCACAGCCCATGTGCTCCCGGGCTCTTCCCCTTCATGGGACACTGGGTACTTGACAAAAAAGGAAGTTCATTCCTCGTTCCAGACCTTCAGCTGGCAGAGACTGTCCTCACTTCATGGACTCTGATGCCCTGAGATACACAAGCTATTTTCTGTCTAAAATACCAGATTTTAGCCATCACCAAATATGTTTAAAACACGGTGCACAGCACACTGACTCATTGCTCGGTATCCTGACCCGAATTTCCAAGGCTCCTGGCAGAAATGAGGAAGAACACACAGACTCAGTGTCCACCTCTGAGAAGTTTGATTCAAGTGGTTTCACAGCATCCACATAAAAACTGGACACAGGGACAGAGCTAAAGCCAGTTTACCCTGGCAACATTTAACAACCTTATGGTGAAACTTTATCCCAGTCTCATTCACTGCATATCACCCTGAGACCTCAACAAATGGGGTGGGAGCTTGGATGTTCATGAGGACCTTGACTGGTCCCTCAATCTGTCCTTACTGGGCACTGAAAGAAGTTGGGGTCTTCATAGTGGGAAAAAACCCAGAATTTGTGCTTAAAGAATGTGAAGTTTCTTTTGCTTCCTGCCTTGCTAATGTAGCTTTAGGATGGGTTTTGACCTGTAGTCAGAAAAATCCAGAAATTCAGAGAAAAGTCCTACAGGATATGCAAGTGGAATGAGCTGCAGATTGATGTAACGTTGACTTGAGCAGTGCTTAACCATGAGGCTTGAGACTGACACTTTAGCACTTGAGAGTCAGAAAAAGGCTGTCAGAAAGATATTATGGGTTTTTATCAGACATCATCTAACACCTACCTGTAGTTGAAGGAACTGGTACCGTGGGAGTCAGGCCGGAATCACTGGAAAGAAAGGAAAATTTCAAATTGCCTTCATGTTTTTTTTAAGAATGGCTGCATATATTGGCCTTGAAAGTACTTCTTCCCCAACTTCTAATAATGATACCATTCAACTTGCATAGCCCAAGTCCTGATCTGAAATCAACAGGATTTCTAAATATTTAGTGCTCCTACACTGAAGACCATGTCTGAAACTTGTTAAAAAAAACCACCAAAAAATAAATGTGGAGGAGGACACAATAACAAATTCAGTGGAGACTGACTGGGGAAATTCCAAACCATCTCCTGCACACAGGATGCACTTCCTTTAACGTTGCAGCTTGCTCCTTAAATCAAAGTGCTCATGCAGGGTGACGACACATTAATAATGCTGCTACATCTAAAATCATTTGAAATATTCCAAGTGTCATCTGTGCCCTCATTAATATCCATAAAGACCTCATCTCCCTCCATGACTTTATGAACAGCAGTTCAGTTCCTGAAATATAAACCAGAGAAAACTGAGGGTTTTGAGCCCTTAGTCCCTTCCTCGCCTGCACTCAACTAACGACCCACTCCTGAATTTTGCAGCTTGTTCCTGCTGCAGTAAATTGGGAATTAATTTGTTATTATCACACAGGAAAATGTGTTTGATGTTAACTAAAACATAGAACCCCAGGATAGTTTGGGTTGGAAGGGGCCTTGAAGCTCATCCCGTCCCACCCCCTGCCCCGGGCAGGGACACCTTCCACCAGACCAGGTTGCTCCAAGCCCTGTCCAGCCTGGCCTGGGACACTCCCAGGGATGGGGCAGGTTCTTGGGGACCCCGTGGCAGTGCTCACATGTCTGCCTGGCGGCTGAGCCACTGCTGGCAGGCGCTGCTGTCCTGGATGTACTGCAGCACCTCCGAGAGCATCGTGCGCTTCAGCCGCTCCTCGTCCCGGCTCTTCTTCAGGTGGTCGTAGGTCCTGGCACCTGTGGCAAACACACCCCCCTCCTCAGCACCTGCCTCGGGCACAGGGCTCACACTGCTGCTTCCTGCTTTAGGGAAGAAGTGGGAAGCCCTGTAGCTCTGGCCCAGGCTCTGCTGTTCTCCCTCATGACAACTGCTTGGCACCAGAAGGGATTAGATTCCAACCTGCACCCCTTCCCTCATTAATTTCAGGCCAAAAACAAACAAAAAAAGGCTTCCATGGTCCAATTCCAGGCCATTTCATTTAAGTGGAGGTCTTAGGCTTCTCTCCAGATATCACATGTGCTGACAGGCAGTGAAAGTGCCCAGAGAAAGAGCCCTGAGACCACTGTGCCATGGCACAGATATTTTTCTCTGCATCTTTTGCAGAGTGGTGACTAGAGCAGAGCTGTGCCTGACAGTGGGATCTCCCAGCTGATGGCTCAAACCAGCTTTAAAACAGCCCAGCTGGGCTGTGCATCATTCCTGAAGCCTTGTTCAGTCACAGAGCCAGGCAAATGCCTTTCATAAAAAAGTGTCTTTTTATTCAACACATCCTGAATGTTGTAAAATCATCCTCCCCCTCCGTGATGGATGGGAATGGGCTGAATAATGCATCAGGTACTTACTGCAGAAATTGGTGATTCCTGCTGCTCTGTATTCCTGGAGTCTCTTTATTTCCCTTCGCAGCTCAAACTCCACTGTTTGACCCCACGAGGAAGCAGGAGGGGAACCCAAAGAACAGAAGTGGGTCAGTGGGGTGGACTGGGGAGGTGGCTGTTTCTTACCTGCCTAAGCTGACCAGGTCAGCTATGAGCACACAAACCACAGCCAGGGTTAACCTCCCTCCACAGGATCTCAAACCCTCTGTGTCCCAGCTCTCCCTGGTCACAGATTTAAGTTGGTTTCTAACATTTGTGTGTGCTCAGAGAAGTTATTTTCTCTTCATTGCATTGACAGTCACTTTGCCATACCCTGGACAAGGCAGACAATAATAATGTGGGATTTCTGGAAGACATTTCAGTAAGTTTGAAACACTCCTCTAGCCAGGCTCCTTATGTATCTAATATTCTCTTAGAACTATGATTTTCATAACTGGACCCTCCAAAATTTTTCCTTTCAGACAACAGTTTTTTTGCAGTCAGTTGGATTAAATCAGTAAAAGTTTCTTTTGCTCAGAGATATTTCTTTTGCTCAGAGATATTTTATCAGCTGCCTTCCTGCTCAGTTTTACAGGGAGCAAGTTTCCTTGTGAATTTGTTTCCTCCTGCTGCTCAGGAGATCTGTGTAGTGCCTGTACCTGGCTGTCAGGTTCACCTGAGGATTTGTTGTCACCACAACAACAAAACCAGGTTGCAGGAGCAGCACTCCCATATGGGACTCGTGATTTTGCAGGTTCATGCTTTTGGTATTTCACACAGGGTGTCCTGAAAACACAGTCACAACTTTGTAAATGCTTTGTTCCTCCTAATGAGCAACAATTTTCCCAGTTTAAGTCACGGAATGAAGCAGGATGTGGTGACTCCTTCTGGAATTTGCCTAAATGCAGGCCATGAGATGATTCAGGGATGGAACAATGCCTCTTCCCTAAGGTAAGGGACATAATGACCACTGCACTATGTAATTATGTGACACAGAATAGTTTAACCTGTATCTTTCAAAGAATTCACAATTTGCTGCCAGCTCCCAATCCCTCCATACGGACAAAATATAGGGATTTTGTTCTTCCCGTGATACAGAGTCCCAGTAAATAAACAGTGGTCTTTTGATAAAAAAAAAATATCACCTCTAACACATGACCAGAATGTTCAGTCAACCAAGAACTCAAACAAAGAACTGGGACACAGTTTAGTGGGAAAAAAACCCCCACTTGCTGCTCATTTAATGTAATCAAACCACAAACGTATCTGTTTTTCTGAGGTAGTCAGAGGGGGGAGGAGGAGAAAAACAACCAGCTGCCCTCCAGGAGCGGGATATATTTAGGGGATGAGGTGCTGCCCAGCCCTGGGTGTGCCTGCTGAGGAGCCCTCCCCACACTCACGTGCGTGGCTCTCGATGAACTTGTCGTGCTCCACCGGGCCCAGGATGCGAGCGAAGCGTCGCATGGTCTCGTAAAGGTCCTGAACCTCCTTCGGGTACCGCCTCTCCAGAACTACAGGGAGGGGGAAAGAGGGACACCAGAAAGGGACAAAAAAGGGACATCACTCCTGCTGTGGAGAGAAAACACGCCTGTGGAACGTGAAGTGACTCCCAGCCTCTGAACCGCCCGAAGCTCCGCGTTCTTGGGCGGTTTTGTGTCACGACCACAAACTGCTGAGTAAAAAGCAGTGAAGTCACACAGCCCTTAAAATCCTAAAAGCACAAACAATGATATTTAAATGCTGTCTGGTCATTTCTTACAATAGTGAGATGCATTCAAAGGGCCTGGATTTCACCTTCCTCCCCCTTCTCCCTACTCAGCAGAGCCTGAAATGCTTCTGAAGAGCAATTTTGAGGCAATAACTAAAACACTGAGCTGGGAGTAGTTAGAGCCAGGCAGCTGGAAACAGTTGGGGCAGGAAATATGCTGGAATTTGGACCATCTGAATACAGTCCAGCATGAATAAACCACACTGGTGACCTGGAAATGCTGAATGTGTGAAGTTTTGCCACTTTGGACTGATACTCACTCTGAAATTTTCTGAGGTTGATCAGGCCATGATCTCTTATAATTCTGTAAATGAGAGCAAAATGGTATTAATAAGAGCCATTAACTCCTGCATTGCCTCACAAACACAAAGGCTTCAGAAGAAACTTTGATTTAGACCATCAGAGGGGTCTAAAATTAAACATGAATGAGATTTCCATACCCCTTGAGCTGGCTGGAATGGAAACATGAGGCAGTGTGGCTTTAATCAGGGCACATTTTGGATAGTGGTGTGCATTAGCCCTGAGCACAAAGGGAACTGCAATCTCTTTAAGGGCTGGGAATGGCTTCTTTAGGCACAGATTTCACATCCACAACACCTTATAACTTATCCTTCCAAAATCAGAGGTAAAGAGTGTCTCACGAACATGATTTCCAGCTTCAGAGAGAGACAAATGTCCCTCTGCTAGAGCAAGGGGAGAGCTGGACTGTAAATCCCACCACTGGCAGTGGGAGGAAGGAACTTTTCCATGACAGCTTGGATTTTTAAAAAGAGCCAAATGATTGGGGTAACTCTGAGTTCAAAGTGCTCCTGACAGGATCAGGGAAAGGAGCAGAGGGAAAGGCAGGGCCATGAGAAATACATCTGTCCCCAGTTTCAGTAGTTGGGCTGTCAGGGTCAGGTTGGGACTTGCTCTATAAAATCCATTACATTTCCTTTAGCATGGACAAAATCTTCCTGTCCTGTGCAGAGGCACCTTTCTGAGGGTGACATCAGCACTTTTCTGTCATTTTTCGGATTTTTGTCCCACCCTGCTTTAGAAACTTCACAAAACCTGACACTGAGTGATGTAACTGAGCCCTGTGGCACTTTCCTTTAGTATGACATGATTGATCACGGTGGAAATTACACCACCTAAATAGTTTTTATTTCTGAATTACAGAGAAGCAGGTCAATCCATACCCACTCTTCCCTGTCACTCAGCAGAACTGTGCTGTTCTGTGAGGAGAAGGACTGGAGCAGCCTTACTCCAAATCACTAATTCTTCCAGCAGGGAGTAATCTAGCAAGATATGATTTTAAATATTGAACAAAGTATGTGAAAGTTATAATAAAATTTAATTCAATTAATAGACTGAGTCATTCTAGAACGCTGTCCAATGAACTGAATAAATTATTCAGCCTCACGTCAGCAGTTGAGTTATCTTCAGTGTGGAACACTAACTTAGGGACCACTAGGAATTAAAAATAATGATGCAAATATTTCTGTGGAGAAAGTGGGGGTCCAGCAATTAGTCACAGCCTGGCAGCCTTTTTTTTCCCCCCTGAAGTAGGAAATTAATGATGTGCAATCCATCAGCATTGCACAGGGAGGGAAAGAACAGAGATTTGCCTTTCTCTGTCTGGTTCCAGCCCTGGATCTGTGATGGGTTTTCCAAATTACGTTTCAGTTTCCACTCTGCAAATGTGACCTCATAAGGTGTGTTGGAACAATGGGGACCAGGATGTATTAATGAAGCAAAGGAACACACTTGGAAACTCACTTTTTCCTTCTCTGCCTTTCCTTTAACCTGGAATGATAGATATCCACAACTGCAATCTTCAGGGCTGCAAAATAAAAAGATTAAAGAATTCATAAGTGATCACTGTGTGAGGCTGATTTTCAAGCCCTTATGTTCAGGGTAGGCTGAAATGGTCACTGCTTTGCTGTTTTAAAAGTCCTGTGGCAATTTTACAGGGGCATCAGCTCACCAGACACTAACCTGCAGGATGTGCTACCTGTGTAAGCTTCTTTTTGCTTACTCCTTCCAAATTCATCACTGTAAATACAATGTAAACATGAACCTGGGTAGATCCTGAGAACTCTTTCCCCTCTTGGGCTGTTTCACTATCAGCACTTATTTGTTCCTTCACACATGCAATTGTTAAGTATTTCCTCTGAAAAGCAAATTTATCAGATTTAAGGATCTGAGGTATCATCTTCAGGCAAAGGAACTCCAATAATAGACCCAGATCTGAACTGTGAAGATTCAAAGTGGCCTTTGCTACGGTTCTTAAAAACATCCAGAAGATTCCAGCTTGTTAACTTCCAAACTTATCTGTCTGCCAGGAGAACAAAGAACAGTTCAGGACAATGTGAAGAAGCCCAGGAAAAAGCCATGCTCATTAGAAATCATGTCCTTTCCAAAATCAAACCTGTCTGCAGGCTGGCTGATCCACTCACAGATCCTGCAGCTCCTTTTTCCTGTAACCATCCGGTTAATAAACTTCTTTTTTTTTGGGAAATTCTTGAAAGACAAGATAAAGAGACACCTATCACCTCCCCCCCCACCTCGTTCTGTTAAATAACACACAAATTCTGGGTCATTTTGGCTGATTTCGTGGTGGCTTTTCTTTCCTTTACATTAATCATTTCCAAACGCTCTTGGAAGGAAGAGACTTTAAGCCCTGACAGTGGTTTAGAGGCTGTGAGACAACAACCAGCCCTTGGAAAAAGGGGAAGAGCACGTCCCTTTTCATCCCAGTGCTGTGGGAACAGGGGTGGCCCAAGGGGGGCAGAACTCAGAATCCATTTCTCTCTGTAGTTACACAAAAAGAGCAAAACTGATAGTGGCTGTTTATTGATTGCCCTCTCGGATAAATAATTAATAATGCAATTAAGAAGTGTGGTTATGTGTCTGTGTTAAGTATGTATTTATGTGCAAACACCAGGGAGCCCCCAGCCCCTGGGAAATTCATCCGTGCATCCCCCTGGGAAATCAAATTTCATACAAACAGGGACAGCTGAAGCTCAAAGGCTGAGGGGACTCACTCAGGAGCCACACTTGCTGATCCCAAGCAAAAAAAATCTTCAGTTTACACAAATTATTTGATGCTAATCTCAAAGCAAAAGGTTCCATATGAGATGGGAGGGGTGGTGCAATACTCCTACTTATTTTTGCAAATTTCTTGCATTTCCAAGCATCATTGTGTATTTTCATAACGAGGTATTTGAGTTTCCCAATTTAAGAACGAGCAGAGAGAGCAAATTCTCCTTCCTGCTCAAATGTGGGGACAAGAAATTGGGAACACAGCAAGTTAAACATGAATGAAATCCATTAGGAAGGGCTGGAATTGGTGCCAACTTATAGAAAATATTTTCGTAGTTTTTAGACCCTCTGCAAGCTCAGCCAGCTTGTTATTTCGTGGGGTTTGTGTGGGCAGAGCTTAATAAGTACATGCAGAAACTGCACTGGAGAACCTCTATAAATATCACAAGTAATTATGCACCTCTAACCATCGTTTTGGTGCTTTCACCTGAGTGCACAATATTCTAAAGAAATGATGATCAGCTGGGGAGGGGAAGGAGCAAATGAAGGGAAAAAATGGAGCTCCTGCCCACAGAAAAATTAGTATTTGCTGCCACATGGCCTTTTGGAGGGGCTTTTGTTTTTAATAGACATATTCACACAGGACCAGGCGATTACCAAATCTGGAATGCATGAATAACTCCGACTACTACACTGTTACACACTGCATGGAAATGAGAGAGGAGATGCTGCAGGAATGAGAATGATTTGCCTGTGCTTTTCCCCATGGATCCTAGCAGGGAGGCAGCTGTTTGTCCTGGTAATGTGAGATAATCCAAGCTGACATGGCGTTCCCAGTGTCCATTCTGGGCACTGATAAGGCTCTTGGTGCAGCTCTGAAGGACCCGGTGATAGGCAGAAATTCAAGGCTCCTTTCTCCACTCCAAAAAAAAAACAAAAACCAAAATATTTTGGTTTCTCCAGAAGTGTGTCCAAAACAGTTTTTTCTTTGCTTTTCATTCCTCTTGGGCCTCGTTTGGTCTGCAAAAAACTTTGCTGAGCGCTAATGAGTGAGACCTTTGTTTCCTGCGAGGGAACCTGCTTGGCATGGGAGGCCCAAATAATGGGAAGAATGCAAACTAATCCCAGTAAACAGGCTGTGTGACCAGTGTGTGCCAGGCTTGGGACAAATTTTAATGGCTACAGTCCAAATTCACCCTCCCTGGAGGAAAGCAGGACCCATGGCAAACAGTTATCTGCCTTTGGAGCGTGTCAGGAGCCTCCACAAAGGAATAAACATCATGTTCTGTCTAGGAGGACACTGAGGGCCTTGCAGCTTCAAATCAGACTTCCCTGCCACTTGCAGCCTATTTCCACTCACTTCTAAACTTGTGGTTTCAGCAATTACTTTGCAGTGTTAGAAGTGAAAATCATTTACATGAGAAGGGGGGGGGGAAAAGCTGGGAAAAAGATAAATTACCCACGTTCTAATTCAGCCTGATGAAAACTTGTAGTTCATGAAATATTCAAGCACTGTGGGCTGAATTAGGGTTGTAACTGGTTGGTGCTTTTGATCTGTCCATTATGTTTTTGTGTAACTGCAATATATATTTGCATTCCCTTACTGTAGTGCCAGCACTGAATAAAAGAGAACAATTCCAGAATTTAATTGAAATATGAGAGGTTTCATACAGTTTCTGCCATCTCACCAATATCAATAAGTGACCAAAGGATGCCTGTGACCTCCTGTGAGGTGGGAGGAGCTGGTGAGGCAGCAGGTACGGATTCTGTGTTCCTCATAAAAGCTGCCTGGGAGTCTTTTCACCTTGTATTAAATTGCATTTTCTTGTGGGAATACCAAGAACTTGCTTAGTGTGACACGGGGAAATATAACAGAGAAAATATATGATATATATATAAAATTATGTATGTATCTCATGTAAAAGATATAATACATCAGAAAACAGAGATCAAGCAGCTCAGATCTAGAACTTTTAAAAAAATAATTTTTAAAGAATGTTAAGAAAAGCAATGTGGGAGAAAGAGAACGAGGGGGAATTCCACTCCAATGGAAGCATCAAATATTCCTGTGTGATGTGCAGCCTCAACACTGCAGAACTGATCTGACTTGTGAACCAAAGGAAAGAGAGACCAAAGGAACTACACTGGTGTGTTCTCAGGGTCTAGCTTGAGGAACTTTCAGAAAACAGAATATAAAAGTAGTTTTCAAAAATTAATCTTGAACCCAGTGAAGTTTAATGCATGGCAGGAAAACAAACAGAGGATTTTCTCACAGCCTGATCCTTAATCTCTGCTGTGAGGCCCCATGTGGGTTTCCCTGGGCTGTAAAATGTGTTAAACCCCTGTTTTACATCTTTACCTTTACATCCAGGTTGCCTCTCAACCATCTCTGCCTGTCTGCTACAGAGTACAAAGGCTTCTTAAGCCATCCCTGCCTTCAGAGCCACATGTTGAGCCATTTTCTGCTCTGTGAAATCCCACAATTAGGTTGCAAAATATTCTCAAGCGAAGTCAGCAGCTGAGATCTTTAAAACTGCAGGACAGGGGAGGATGTGGCTCCTTCCTTTTTTTTTTGGTATTAACTCTGGAGAAGGGAAAGTTCTCATTCCAGATTTTTTGCAAAAAGGATTCTTTTTCTCCCCGAGATGCCTCATGTGAAAGAAAAACAGCTGGCTAGACCCTGGGACTCCATTTTTCAGAGGCTTTCTCTCTCACGTGGGCAGACCTGGGACAGCTGTGGGAAGGCAGATGCCAGAGTTCCTGAGAGCAGAGAGATCCAAAATGTAGTTGGTCACACTCCACACCCTCTGCCAAACAGTTTTCCCAGAGCAAATGCCTGACCTCCCTTGCTGAACACTGAAGACAACTGAAGGATGGGCTGGAGAACACCCAATGAAATTATCAGGCAAAAGATTGGACAGATAGAGGGAAGTATTTTTTCACACAACACATAATTAAATTCCCAACTCCTAATTTGATTGTGGAAGTCCCTGCTGCAGGATGGAGGGGGGCAGGAGCACAGGCAGACACAGTTCTAGCAGTACTTAGCTGAGCTCCAGGAGGACAAACCCGTGGTCAAAAGGGTCTGAACACAGCCTGGGGCTCAAGGAGTCTCTGAACTTATCCCTGCAGGAAATGCAGAGGGGGCCAAAAAGTTGCTGAGGGGAGGGCTGGAGCACCTCCCCTGTGGGGACAGGCTGGGAGAGCTGGGGCTGTTCAGCCTGGAGAAGAGAGGGTTGTGTGGAGACCTCAGAGCCCCTTCCAGGATCTGAAGGGGCTACAGGGGAGCTGGAGAGGGACTGCAGTGATAAGACAAGGGGGAATGGGTTCAAACTGAAAAAGGGGAAATTTAGGTTCAATATATGGAAGAAATCCTTCCCTGGGAGGGTGGGGAGGCCCTGGCACAGGTTGCCCAGAGAAGCTGTGGCTGCCCCATCCCTGAAAGTGTCCAAGGCCAGGTTGGACGGGGCTTGGAGCAACCTGGGATAGTGGAAAGTGTCCCTGTCCATGGCAGGGGGTGGGATGAGGTGAGCTTTAAGGTCCCTTCCAACCCAAACCATTCCAGGACCCTACAATTTATGTGGAAGATATGCCAGGAAAAGGATCTGCCTGTACTGACTGCTCTGACATTCTCCTCCCTGTGCACTGTGGGGACACTGAGCGGGACAGACCCCAGGGTTTGTCCCTGTGCAGCTCTGGGATCTGCTGAAGGGATGAGGAACCTGACTCTTGCACTCAGTGACAACTTAACCAGGAGAACAGCAAGAGAGGCCTTAAATGGCTGAACTGTGCATGGGAGGAAGGAGGGGTGGGGGAATGGAAGGCAGTGCTGGAAAACCTGCTTTAGTGAACATTAATCTACCCATTAATGAACAGAACTAAAAGATAATTCTGCTTTTTCAGTTTACCAGGACCTAGAATAGGACACGGAAGCAAGAAAATGTATCTTTCAATAGCAATAAAAAGAAACAGTAGAGAGCTGGCATGATGAATGCCTGACATGGCCCCAGGCCAGTCCCCCTTTCAATAAATGTTAAAAGGGAGCAGGGACTGACATACGATTCTCATAACCTTCCCTGAGCCAAGGGAGTTTGCATTCTTTAAAGCTCCTGCATACACTGCTGCATTTCCAACTGATTTTTTTAACTTTGGCAAGACTGTCTGTACGTAACAGGATTTGTCTGTCTCCAAGGGATGCAAAGGCTTTAGCTTAGAACTGCCTGACACAGATGGGAGAATTCTGAGGCATAAACACAGGACTTTTAAACAGTGCATGTACTTATAAACGTGGGGAAAAGTGGGATCTTTTCTTCCCTGTGGATTAAAATGTCACTCTAATAACTCCTGTTATTTCCTATTATTGAGGCAGCTACGTTCACAGAAACTCAGAGCAGTAACTGGACTCACACCATCATCTTCAGAATAAAAAGGGAGTTGTCACACACAGCTAATGCTGCTCTAACTCAGGGCATGCTTAACACATGAAAAATCACACAGCTTCAAGAGTACAACAGCCTAAATGTGTTTCACATGGTCTTAAACTACACACCTCCTTGCTGCCTGCATTAATACCTACCCTGAGATCACAGATATTTAGATATTTACTGAACCATTATACTAACTATTGTACTTTACAACTGGCTGTATTTCAGCAGTGAGTGAGGTGCATTATTCTGTACCTAAATACCATTTGTACATCAGCTGGTTAAGAGCTTTTAAAAGAGATTTGAAAGTGAGGACCGCAGAAACGCCGGTGTTTAAATCTCAGTGAGATTTTAAAAAACACATTATAAAAACATAGATTAAAAAAAAAACATTAAAAACCCCACACAGTAAAAATGTTTGTACACACTTTTAAAGTGTGTAGTGAAAGAGACTCAATGAAAAGCTGTGTAGACACTCTGAAACGTTGTTTTCAGACAGGGTACAAAAATATGGGACTTACCATGCAAAATGTCTGAATCATCTTCTACAAAATCAATATCTCTCAAATCCCATTCGGCATAGTTGTCAAACTCCTGTTCAGAGGTGATTAATACATTGTCACCCACCAGCACTAAAATATTGGTCTCAAGTTTCAGTACAAGCAGAAGGACTGAAAACAAGAGATATTTCCTCAAACACAGCGGTTCAAGGTTCCATCCCTGAGCAACAAACATCCCAGGGGAGCTTTCCCTGGGCAATGTGTGACAGCACCCCCTTGGATGGAACTGGAGCAGGGGGTTGGGACAGGGTAAGAATTAACCATGACCCCCATGTGATGGAAACCCACCCACTGGGATGGAAAGCAGAATCATACAAGCCCAGAATATCCTGAGCTGGAAGGGCCCCACAGGGATCATCAAGTCCAACTCCTCACCCTCCACAGGACAATCCCAGCAATCCCACCCTGTGCCTGAGAGCATTTTGCAGGGTGGGGCTCCTGGGATGGTCTGTGTTTCACCAATCACTTTGGTGCTGATTCTGCTCAGGTGTACAAAACCAAGCTCCTGTATGGCTGAAATCATTCCTTCATGGACAGGAGCAGGAACTGGGGCCTTGGGCCCACAGCTAAAAGCACTGAAAAGAGGGCAGGTTTTACAAGGCATGTCTGGAGCAGGGTCTTGTGTGCTTCCCTAAGGCAGATGACAGTGCTGGAGCTGATCCCTTTGGCCGAGCAACTAATTCTCAGCATCCACTCTGCTGAAGCAAGGGCATTCCTGGCTGGACATCTGGTGGCAGCAGCATGTCCTACAGCCTCACTGACTGCTCCCAGCTTTGCAGGCCACCAGCGCCACCTCTGTCATCAAATCCTTCATTAATCCTCAGGTTTAATCACAGAATTGCAGGATATCTCAAGCTGGAAGGGACCCATAAGGATCAGAGTCCAGGATAACCTTAAAACCTCCTCATGGGATAACCTTAAACTAAACCACAAGACTCAGAGCATCACTCAGTCCTGTCCTCTCTCCTGATGTTTTAAAATGAAGAGTAAAGACCCACAGGCAGGGGGCAAACAGGTGTGTGTGTGCTGAGCTTGCACTCAGCAGCAAATTTAAAATAATGGGAGAAGAGTCAGCCTTACCTCAACAAAGTCAGCTCTGGCTGGCATGTACCCAGCCATGTCCCTGGAGAGCAAGGAATCAAAAGTTGGCCGTGGGGGATCATCAGCAGCTGGAAAAAACAAAGGTTTGTAGTTGTGGTGTAGGGCTTGGGGTCTTTTTTTTTTTTTAAAGATCTGTAAATAAGTGTTTATTTTGCAGGAAAAGTGGGAATAATTAGTTGAAGAAAAATACCCTGATGGGGCTTTTGTTTAGAGTTATAGTCGGAAAAAGACTGAGTCCATCCAGAGAAAAATGCAGTAATCTGACATCTTTGTAGTACTCCCAAAAGTCAAACACAAATTCAAGGTAATAAATAGGTAATAAAATGTAAACTTTGCATTTTAGAGCTGAGCATCCCCCCATAAACCTCTGCAGATCCCTGGGGCTCAGCGTGCAGGTTCTTTCAGTTAATAGCAACAGGAGTGTTAAATTTGCCTTCTTCTGGGGGCCATTGACAGAGCTGCAATTAAAGCCAGAAGAACTCCCAATGTTTACAGCACTTCCCAGCTGAGGAGCTCAGTGTTTTACAGACAATAATAGTCTGAGGCTCACAATACACTTGTGCAGGAGCTGAGCATTATATGTCCCATGCTACAGATAAAACAAGCTGAGGCACAGAGAGTTTGTCTTGGCCTAGGTCACATAAAAAAATCAATAACAGCCAGGGACAGAACCAAAATTGCCCAGTTCCTACTGTTTAGCTCTAACCACTTTACTGGGAAATTTAAACCTCCAGACACCCAGCAACCATCTCACCCAGAGCTGCTGGGGAGCTTCAGAGAGGAGCAGCTGCCAGACTGGGGGAACACTAAAGATGTGAAATGCAAGGAAAGCTGAGAATTCGTTAAATTGCTTTGAGGTTTAGCTCAGACTTTTTAACAGGCAGTTTTAAAGACAGAGGTGTGAAATCAGCAGAGTTGAAAGGGGTGGTTTTGTGAGGAATCACATCAGCAGTTAGGCCTGGGACACGGTGTATACACAATAACATACCCACCATCAGAGGGAATGTTCAAAGGCAGGGATACTCACGGTGGAAGGGAATGGCTGTTTCCTGCTGCTGCACCTCCTCTGCCTGCTTCAGGTTCAGCAGGGTGGATGCAAACAGGGGGTTGTTGATGAAGTGTTTCATGTAGTGCTTCTCACACTCCTCCTTGGATTTGGTGCACATCTGGTTGGCTACGTCCTGCCTGCAGTGGGGAGAGGGGGAGGCTTCACGTGAAGGACATGGAAATGTCCAGTTTCTTTTAATTCCCCTAGTGGGAAAAGATGTTTTTGGGCAAGAGAGTGATCGTGTTGTGTGTAGAGAACTGCCCTGTTGAATTCACGTTTTCAGTACCAACACTGAGCCAATACTCAGATTTGATACAGTGTAAAAGGGAGCACGTTTTGGGTGGCCACAAACAATGCAAACCACTCTCTCTTTGCATGAGAAACTCCATGGCTGATGGGATGGACCAAATCCTTGACAAGTTTGGAAAGTTACTATTGTTATTTGAGGGCTTTTCACACATTTCTCTAACTCCAGGTAAGGGCAAATTCTAAGTCTGGAACTGCATTCTACTTCCTAAGTTCCTCCTGTGCTTTTAAGTGGATATTGGTTTCCCCTTTCATGTTAAACAGATTTTTTTAGGAAGAAATCCTACCCTGGGAGGGTGGGGAGGCCCTGGCACAGGCTGCCCAGAGAAGCTGTGGCTGCCCCATCCCTGCAAGTGTCCAAGGCCAGGTTGGACGGGGCTTGGAGCAACCTGGGCTAGTGGGAGGTGTCCCTGCCCATGGCAGGGGGTGGGACTGGATGGTCTTTAAGGTCCCTTCCAAACCCAAACCATTCCATCTCTCTATGATTCTATTTTTTTTAAACACCAAAATGGTCATACAAAACACCTCCTAGGAATCTTCACAAAATTTTCCTGGAAAAGAGGTTGACTAGAAATGTGAAGTATTCGGTCTTGATAAAGTGGCTGTGTAAGTTGAGGACTTTAAAAAAAATTAATCTACCAGCAGCAATCATTTTACTGTCTGTTAAACTCAAAACTGGATGCAAGAGATTCCAGGATGAAAAGTCAGTTTTTCCTTTATTTGGTAAAGGCTGAAAAAGGCCAAATGTTTGAGGAAAAAATGAAGATTATTTGTATTGCTAAGCAGACCAAAGTGTACTCGACAGCACATTGCAACCAGTTCTCAGTCTTAATTCTGGCAGCAACATGTACCTAGGAACTCTCAGTTCTGGTTCAGTGAATGCTGGGGTTCTGTGCTTTTAATACAGCTATTTTTTCATGAAGGAGAAGACAAACAACTCATGAAAACAGGATCTGGAACAGGTCTTCCACTTTAGCTGCTAAATTAGTGTCTCACCCCAATAAACCACTGAACTTTCAATGTGCACTGGTGTGTTCAACAGTGAGATCCAGGGAAATGAAAGGAAAAACTGCCCATTATTCACTGAAATTGGCTGAACCACTGAATTCTCACCAGTTCCCAAATCCACAGTCCATCACAGCTTCGAGGAGAGACATTTCCTCCTGAGCTGTCCAGTTGGGATCCAAGACAGGGAAATCAGATGTCTGGAGAAGAGAAAGGCAGATCAAACTGCTGTGACCCTCCGTTCTAACCCACCTCAGGAAGAGCAAAGAAGTTCTAAACCACAGGGCAGCACAGCAGTTAATTCTGGTAGTTTTAAACTTTCACTGTGTCCCATGAAACCTGATGGAACAACTGTTGAATTATTTAGGGCGCTGGGACATCAACCACAGCAAACCCTGGCACATGTTGCACCTCCCAGCTGTAATTCAATGATGCTGTGTTATGAAACACAGCAAAAATTACTGAAGACTTTAAAAACTATTAATTTGGGGGAAGAAAAAACAAGGGTAGAGAAACAGAGGTTGATTTACATGGCTAAAGAACTGGAAGTCTAGGGAGGTGCATTGTGCTATCCAGGCACAATAAAAAATGCAGCTTTAAATGACTCCACCACCCCATTATGTTCCAGGTGGATTTTAATTTGCAATCATGGAAGATTTTTTTTTTAATTGTTCTAAACCTTTGAATCAAAGAATTGCATCACTTAATCTTTCAGTGTAATATTAATAAGCAAGTGTCTCACTCCTGGGAAGTTGTGAAAGCTCAGGACTGAATAGGTGTTATCCAAAAGGAATATTTACCATTATCTCATAGGTGTGATCACTTTGATGTTTCTTGTATTCAAATCCTCGGGTGAAACACTGCAGAACAAAAGATCACCATTATGTTGGGTTCTTACTTCTGCCCTGAAAACATTTTCACTGGTCCCTTTCTCCCTTTTATTCTCTGACCACTGGGTATCCAAAACTTCCCACCTGATATATTCAATTTTTCTGATGTAATGTTAGAAATCCCATCAAATGGCAGAAAGATCTGGGTTAAAATTGTGTTAATCTTTGTATCTTGCCTGTCTTTTGCCCTCAGACATAACTCCTGTGAATCCCAAAATTTTTGATAAGTATTTATGGCAAAGTCAGGCAGCTGAAAAAAAAATTAGTGTTATATTTTAAAGTTGATTGTTTCAGGAAAAAAACACAGAGCATTTAGTAAGTATTGAAAACACAGTTTCCCTTTAATCTTGGTTCTCTGATTAAAAGCACCAGCATGGTTTGCAGCTATTTTTAACAGCTAAATATCTGTTTTTTTTTAAGTACAGATAAATGAGCAAAAATACACCCAGTATACAAAATAGGGTTTTGTGTATTTTGTACATACCTGAGCACAAGACTCAGCTCTTTTTTTAAAAATTACTGCCCATTTTTAATAATATTAACACAGACTTATTCATTTAATAACTAAACCAGCAGTACTTTCTGTGGTTATCAGATCACACATACTACTTTGAAAGAACTGCATCTGGTCACAGACAATTAATGTTAATATTGCAGGTTTTCCTTTTCCGTTTGGGAGGGGGAAAAAATGTGTGTGGACAGGGGAAGGGTGTTCCTGGATGGATTTTCTTTTCCATGCCATAAAAAAATGACAGAAATGATCCTCCTCCAGACGTGCAGCAGCAGGCTGGGTTCCAGCCAGGCTGACTGCATGTCTTTGGCTGCTGCACAAAGACCTCCTTCACCTGCTCCTGCCTCAGTTCCTCATCCTCCACATCCCCTTTGCCATTTCCCTCTCCCTGAGCAAATAAGTGTGTTGGTACAGGTTTGGAGAGACTGGTTACTGATGTGCTTATGGACAGCCTGGCACCAGCCAGGCCTTTGATGGCTTTCTCAGAGGAATTTAGTGCCTCTTCTCTGCTGCTGGCACTCACCTGCAGGCACAGGAGGAAGGGAGGGGGCCCACACTCAGCACACTTCACGTAGGGCTCCGAGAGGTACGAGGAGCAGCCTCGGCACGGGGGCTTGTCAAAGGGGTCATCTGGGAAACCAAAGGAAAACCTCACGTAACACAGGCCAGGCACTGGTTTGGCACCACCTAAATTCACTTGTGCCCAGCCCCAGCAGTTGTGTGCCCCTCCCAGCTCAGTGAATTCTATGGATTTTCAGTGTGTCATCTCTTCCCTACTGCAGCTTCTGCAAACATGTTAAATATTCCTTGTTCAGCACGAGCTGCAGCAGAGATGTTGGCACTGCATCTCTGCTAGACCTGAAACACTGAGGGCTAAACCCAAACTTGTGCAACGGGCCCAAAGGAAAATCTCCTCTGCAGCAGCCTCCTGGTACAGCTCAGCAAGGCTGCACCAGCTGCCTGGTTTGATCCTGTGCTCATCTTCTGCATCAAAGACCAGAGCCCAGACCTTATTTGCAGAGAATTCTGCACAGCAGCTGCACTCCCCATCCACGTGCCTCGAGCTGGACCCACAGAGCACATTGCTGAGGCTGCAAAGGCATCAACAGGATTGTTGCAACCCATCCAAACCTCAGGCTCTGCTCAGGTTCTCAACAAGGAATGAAACTGCCCTGTGAGTTTTTCATATTTTGTTCATGGCAAAGTGGTCAAAATAAACAGACTGTCAGGTTTTAATGGCTTCAAATGTACAGAGAGCAGGGTTAGATTTGATATTGTGAAGGAATTCTCCCCTGTGAGGGTGGGGAGGCCCTGGCACAGGTTGCCCAGAGAAGCTGTGGCTGCCCCTGGATCCCTGCAAGTGTCCAAGGCCAGGTTGGATGGGGCTTGGAGCAACCTGGGCTAGTGGAAGGTGTCCCTGCCCATGGCAGGGGGTGGGACTGGATGGTCTTTAAGGTCCCATCCAACCCAAACCATTCCAGGATTCCACGATTCTATGATTCTTTTCCAAGAAAATGGGTTTGAACCAGCTCAACTATAAGAAGTAGGCAGAAAAAAGACCCAAATTCCCACTGAATCATTTGAGTCCTCGTGCTCTTGAGAATTTGGACAAAGAAGTGATTCTGTGGACCAAATCCTGCTGGTTTCTGTCTCCCTCCCCCACGGCTGCTGATTTCTTAAAACAATGGCAAACCCTTTCCAAATGTCATGGAATCACAGGATTGTTTAGGTTGGTAAAGCCCTCTGAGTTGAGTCCAACCACTAACCCAGCACTGCCGTCCTCACCACTAAACCACGTCCCCAGGTGCCACATCCACACATGTTTTTTGAACACTTCCAGGGATGGTGACCACAAAATCCCACAGCTCTGAGAAATCCTTGTGCCTGCTTTTCTGTGGGAGGTTAATTATCTGCTGGCACTTACTGCTGAAGGAGGCCAGGCGCTCCATTGCTGCCCTGGGTGCTGGTCCTGCTCCTCGGAGTAAAACCTGTCCTGCCCAAACACCCAGGGAGTGGGAGCCTTGTGCCAACCAGGGTGTCCAAAGGGAATTCTCTTCCGCAGCCCCCTCCAGGTGTGATCCTCCCAGAAGGTCCTGAACAGAAAGCAAAAGGGCTGTCACAGCCTCCAGACACCATTCCCAGGGCTGAGGGTCTGTTCTCTGGGTGTGAGAAGGAATCAAACACGGGGAGACGGGATGGGGCGTAAGGAGATGTGGAGTGACCGGGATACAGTCCCAAACTGAGGGTTCCTGTGGGAATGGATGTGCTGAGCATGGCTATGAGCAGATGGAGTGCAAGGAAGTGTTTTGCACCTCCCAGAAGCACTGGGAAGAGAAGGAGCAGGTCAGGGATGGCACGGGCACAGCAGTGCAAACACTGCCCTGCTCCTGCCAACACCATTTCAGTGCTGACAGTGGCAGCTTCCTTGGACAGCCTGATCCACCAGCTCCTGCACAGGGAGGTCCTACATTCATTCCATCACCAGGGAATGTGCTGCTCTCCATGTGGGATCTCTGACATGTCTCACAGCAACTGGCTTGGGCTTCTCCTTAGTGAAATTCTGTTTCTTTCCAGACTTTTCTCCCCCGTCATATCCCACTTCCACAAACCCTGCTCCTCAATCTCCAGTCACCCATGTCCTGCTCCCCATATCCCAGTCCCTACTCCACATATCCCACATCCCATATCCCACATCCCCACTCCCCATATCCCAATCCCCACTCCCCACATCCCATATCCCACAGCCCCACTCCCCATATCCCAATCCCTACTCCCCACATCCCATATCCCATTTCCCATATCCCGACCCTCCCTCCAGCCCCGGGCCGCCCCTTCCCTCCCTCCCCCGCCAGGGGCGCCCCCCGCCCTCCAGGCCCCGCCCCCGTGTGGCCGCCCCCTCCGCCCCGGCGCGGCCCTTCGAGCGAGGCTCCGGCGCTTCCCGGCGCCCGCGCTGCGCTCCCCGTTCGTCGTCCTCATCCGCCGCCCTGTGTATCTTTTCTCTTGCTCCGCGCTCCCTGACCGCGCCCGCCCCGGCCCTGGCTCCCGCTCGCCCTCGCCCCGCGGGCGCGCCGGGGCCGCCTCCCCTCACCTCTGCTCGGGGCGGCGGGTCGGGCCCGCGCGGCGCCCCGCCGTGCGCACGCGCCGGGCCCGGGCGGGGGCGCGGGCGCCCCATGGCGGGTGCCGGGAAGCGCCGCAGGGCCCGCCCGCCCCGAGCGGGCTGAGTGGAGCCGGGACCGCCCGGGGGCTGGGGCGTGCCCTGAGGGTTCGTGGGGGTCTCTCGGGGGTCCCGTCGTGGAAGGCTCAGGAAAGGCTGAAGCCAGCCGGGTGTTGCCGCACGGCAGAAACCCTCGCCTGTCCCGGGCCCCCCTCAGACCGCGGGCACACCCGGGAGGGACCCGCGCTCCCCCCGCCCCAGTCACTACACCCGGCTTCCAATGGTTCCTGACGGTTATTCACCCTCTCAGGTTCGTCCTTTCACTTCCTGAGGTAGCAAAGGGAAATCTTGGCTGATTTTCATGGGGAAAGGGCTCTCCAGTGCCATCCCTGCTTCTTCCCTGTGTGAACCAGGTACTCGTGGGCTTGGGCTGTGGAGGGGCCTGAGCAGGGTTTAACGAGTCTTGCATAAACCCCCAAAGCTGGGGAAGGATTTATCTGGTTGCTTTGGTTGAAACAGTCGTAATTGTTGTTGTTAGACAGCCTGCACAGCCCTCCTGGCACAGGGGCTTTCACACCTCGTGTTGTCCCTTGTCACCTCCGCGTGGCCTCGTGTGCTGCCCTGTGTTCCTGAGGGGAGCCTGGGGCAATTGTGACAGTGATGCTGAGTTAAAATGGGGTTTAACACAAATGGTGAGTGATTCTCTGTGTGCTTATGGTGCCCCGGTGCTGGCAATGTAACTGGTATTTCACAGGGACCTCAAATATTTATACTTGGGTTTATGCTTACACAAAACCTTAAGCTAAAGGAGGGCAGGGTTAGATTAGCTGTTAATTAGACCAGGTTGCTCCAAACCCTGTCCAACCTGGCCTTGGACACTCCAGGGATGGGGCAGCCACAGCTTCTCTGGGCAACCTGTGCCAGGGCCTCACCACCCTCCCAGCCAAGAATTTCTTCCTAATATCCGACCTAACCTTCCTCTCTACCAGTTTGAAGCCCTTCCCTCTTGTCTACCTATGTTCCTTGTTGGGATTTAACAGCAAGACTAAAAATACCGGAATTTATTTCCTTTTCCTTTTTCCCAGGCTCCAAATGCATGTGAAAAATCATGAGGAAAAAATCAGAAGTTGGGAGAGGCAGAGTTTGGAATGTCAGTGAAATATTTATTGCTAACAGGTTTTTCCTGCATCTGGGAATTAAGGCTCTGGGTGGTTAATGGAAGGAATCAACATATGGGTGAACAGCTGGTTCCTGCTGTTCCCAGGGAGAGGTGAGGGAAAGGTGATGGATGTTTTCAGGTGAGACCTGCAGCCATGGATGACCATGGCTTTGGATATTTTCGTGTAAGGTCTTGCTATTCTGCCTCTGGCAAGGGAAGGAAAAATATTTATGAGGAACACTGAACAATTCGTGGAGTCTTACAGGTTTTTCAGATCAGTAGGTGTGCTTCCCTGTGCTTCCCTGTGCTTCCTTGTGCTTCCCTGCCCAGGCTGAGCCCCAGGTGAAACACAACAGCTCTGGGGGGCACCTGTGCCCACCAAACCCAGAGGCCACACATACAGAAATAATGGGAACATTATGGGAACATTATCAGGCCGCTGTCTGCAGGTGAATTAAAAGTCCCGCTGGGATTTCTCCAGGCTGTGGGATGGATTTTTTTTTTTTTTTTGAAAATTGGCGTTTTCTGCGTTAGACACACGGGGGCGATGGAAATCACCTTTTCCTCCGGAGCTTGTGGCTTTGAAATGCTGAATAACCACAGGTTTGTGTCCCCAAGCACAGAAGGATAAAATATTTCTGTTCAGTTGCAAATAACCGCCGACATTTCGAGTGGCTGAGACTCCAGAGACTCCAGAAAACTTTTCCATAAGCGTTGATATTACTTAAGATGTTTAAGTTTAAAAGGAGAGCAAATGGGGAGCCTCAAGGGCTTGTGTGTCAGTGTTTGTTTTGCATGCCTGTTTAGTTCAGATATTCATGGTGGGTCAGGATGGATTTCAGTATAAATATTTAATATTTACAATCTATCAGGTGGTGTAAAACATTCTCTTTGTGTTCTTTTGCAGGTTTTTTATTTCAGTGTATTCAGCTGCTTTAGTTCAATGATTTTCTCCATCTAAAATTGAAAAGCCGGGAGTAGAATTGAGAAAAAAAAAACAACACCAAAACCCACTATAGTAAAGGTGTGAAAAGATAAGGTAGTTTGGGAACTTCCAGTAGCAGAGCTGATGTGAGGACCACTGGATGTGTTCCATGCCCCGGAGGCCTTCCTGATAAATCTGTCCTCATACACTTTACTTCAGTATCCTTTTTTTAGGCTGTATTTCTATACTCACTAATTTTTATGCAATTTGCTCAAGATAGAAATCCTTAGGAATGTAAAATTCAGCCTGTAAAAATGCAAAAATATTGGAAGGAGAATCAGGTTATGAATAATGACAAACCAAATGTTTATTTTTAATGCGGGTTTTTTTCCTGTACCGTTACTGGATGTTCACTTTCACTTTCTCATTTGTTCTGCAGCTTCTCTTCCTGGGCTGGGAATGCTGAGACTTTGCAGCTTTACAAGAGGATTTAGGGCACTTCCTGGAGTTGTAGGGGCACTTGGGCCCAGGAATAGCCCATCTCGTGGACTGTGTTAGTGATGGCAGCTCACCTGGAGAGAATGTGGTGGTGTGTGAGTGATTGTCCCTGAAAACAGGCAGACCTGAGCGTTGTGAAGATTAACATTCCATTTATAAGGCTTTTTTTTTTCAAAACAGCTAAACCATGATATTGCTTTAAGAAGGGATCTGACCTTTCTCTCCATTACCTGCCTGCCAGGGCATGAGCAGTGCCAGGCTGGATGTGTCACCAACCCCCCTCACCTGGGATGATCTGCCCTGTGTTTGTCCTGGGGATGTTATCAGAGCCTGGGGAAGAGAGGTGGAACCCGAATTTGGCGTCATGAAAGGTAAAATCAATTTCCCTGTATTTTTTTGGAGTTTATTTACGTGCTTTACTAAGGCCAAACTTCCTTGTTTTGAGAAAACGGAGTGGCACGTGTTCACAGTGCACGTGCTTGTAAGTCATGGAATGACAGTAGTAAATAATGTCCTGTGTCCAATTTCTGGGCATGATAGGAAAAGGTGTGGATTTAACCACCCCTTCTCCAAAGCAGAATGTGGTTATGATTCAAAATCCAGTAAAACTGTTGGAAAGTGGGTCTGAACTTTTTGAATCTGTGTGTTTGTATTAAAACACAGATTAGTGCTGCCTGACAGCCCTTTCCATGAGAGAACTTGAAGCTTGAACACATTTTTACCTAATCCTTTGCAACTATTTCAGTCAAGAATCGAGGGACATTTTGAATCATTTCTGCTCCTGTGTAAGTCACAGAAAAACCCCCCAGCTGTCCTAAATATGGGATTTGATTCAGCATGGCCAGTAGTCATCGCTGGGTATTCCTTACCCTGCAATATGTTCCAAATCACATATGGTAATTGCTCTGAAATCACATTTCCCTCTAGGGAGTGTCCCACCACCACCTCTTCACTGTGAGGTGAGATTTTCTTGCTGGATTCAGTGGGAAGAGCAGGTGGGAAAGATAAAGCCCAGAGCTTTTGTTTGCTTGTGTAAAATAACATACGGAATATTTTGGGATCTATTCTCTGCTGTATGTATACAGGCTATAAACAACTGTCCTGCCCTGTGATGTGATGTTCCAGTGCCTGATCACCCTCTGGGGGGAGAACCTGTTCCTGAGATCCAACCTAAACCCCCCTGGCACAGCTCCAGCTGTTCCCTGGGTCCTGTCCCTGTCACACCGAGCAGGGGTCGGAGCTGCAGCCCCTGGTGAGTCTCCCCTCAGTCTGCTCTGCTCCAGCTGAACACAACAAGTGCCCTCAGCCACCCCTCACATGGCTTCTTCCCCTGACCCTTCACCATCTTCCTAGCCCAAAAACATCACCTTCCAAACCCATGGGTTTTTTCAGGTTAATGTATTTAACTTGCTCTTTTCCACGTGTTCGTGCCTCTCTTTGCCCTTGGATGGGAGCGTCGCCGCAGGATTTCGGTGTGTGAAGCAATCCCTCCCCCCCAGTGTTTGTGCCTGGCTGGGAGCACTGGGCAGGGCAGACAGGCAGTGTGCAGGTGCAGGTTTTAGCACGCCTGGAGCTCTGGGAGCACCAGCGAGGATGAACTCAGCACCTGTCGTAATTCCAGGTTTTGTAAGGTCTGTATGTGGTTATTATCAGTGATTTGGGACCAATCCCTCAGCAAGCCAAGCACTCCCCCTCACTTCTGCAGGAGCTGGGATTTGGGACTGGAGGTGATTGACAACCTTTCTCTTTTAGCTCCTTCACAAAAACGCTTCACCAGAGGAAGAGTCTTTATGTAAAAGACACATTTATATCTATAAATAAAAGTGTCCATGCCCGAATTTTCCAGATTTGGTCTGGATGGATGGATG